GGGAGAGAATTTTAGGGTGCTTCGGGGTGTTCTGGGGTGAAGGTGGGAGGGGGACACCCATGGGAGGGGGCTTTAGGGTGGTTTGGGGTGAAGGTGTAATCCATGGGAGGGGGTTTTGGGGTGAAGGCAGGAGGGGCAGCCATGGGAGAGAATTTTAGGGTGCTTCGGGGTGTTCTGGGGTGAAGGTGGGAGGGGGACACCCATGGGAGGGGGCTTTAGGGTCGTTTGGGGTGAAGGTGTAGTCCTTGGGAGGGGGTTTTGGGGTGAAGGCAGGAGGGGCAGCCATGGGAGAGAATTTTAGGGTGCTTCGGGGTGTTCTGGGGTGAAGGTGGGAGGGGGACACCCATGGGAGGGGGCTTTAGGGTGGTTTGGGGTGAAGGTGTAATCCATGGGAGGGGGTTTTGGGGTGAAGGCAGGAGGGGCAGCCATGGGAGAGAATTTTAGGGTGCTTCGGGGTGTTCTGGGGTGAAGGTGGGAGGGGGACACCCATGGGAGGGGGTTTTAGGGTGGTTTGGGGTGAAGAGGCAATCCATGGGAGGGGGTTTTGGGGTGAAGGCAGGAGGGGGCAGCCATGGGAGGGAATTTTAGGGTCCTTTAGGGTGTTTTGAGATGAAAGTAGGAGGGGGACACCCATAGGAGGGGGTTTTGGGGTGCTTTGAGGTGAAGGCAGGAGGGAGGCACCCATGGGATGAGTTTTTAGGACGCTTTGGGGTATTTTGGGGTGAAGGCAGGAGGGGGGGGAACCCACGGAAGGGGTTTGGGGATACTTTGGGGTGAAGCAGGACGGGGAACCGATGGAGGGCATTTTTGGGGTGAAGGAAGGAGAGGGGTGACCAGGGACAGGAGTTTTGGGGTGAGGGCAGGAGGGAGGTGCCTCCACGGGTCTCCTGGGCTGTGTGGGGGTGCCCTGGGCCCCGTGTGACCCCCCTGTGCCCCCCCAGATGTCAAACACTACCCCGTGTTCGTGGGGCACGGCAGCAGCCGCCCGGGGGGGCCCGAGGGGGGGATCCCCCAGCGCCTCAACATCCAGCGCATCCTCAAGGTCAACAGGACCCTCTTCATCGGGGACAGGTGAGAACCAGCCCCCCAAAACCTCCCCTGCATGGTGGGGGGCACCCCAAACTCTCTTGGCTGGGGAGGACCCCATTACCTGCTCCAGGGCACCCCAAAACCTACCATGGGGCTTTTGGGGGGTTCCAGAGGGGCTGCCCTTAGCCCAAGGATGCTCAGAACACACCCCAGCACCCCAAAACCTACCATGGGGTGTTTGGGGGGTTCCAGTGGGACTGTCCTTACCCTGGGGGTGCTCAGAGCCCACCCCAGCACCCCAAAACCTCCCTTGCATGGGGGTGGGCACCCCCAACCCTCTTGGCTGGGGAAGATCCCACTACCTGTCCCAGGGCACCCTAAAACCTACCATGGGGTGTTTG